TGGTTTGGTGCACACAGTACAGGAGTTCTTTGGGTCTAACAGCGCATGAATTTTTCTTTCTGCTTTAAGTTGTATTTTCATGTCCCACACTTTAATCTTCAAGATGAACTATTGTTGATCTCCATAGTCCATCTTGAGGGGGGTTTGTTAGAATATCCACCTCATCTTTATTCTAGAGTCTTTTATAGTTTGTTAGTTTTTAGTCTATAAATTGAGCACTTTGTATGCATTGTAATTTATTGGATTTTATTCCAATCTTCAATATGAAATCATCATGTTGAATCTATCATTTTCTTCCTTGTTTTTAATATCATAATTTTCTTCAATTTCAGTTTTTGTTCACAATTTCTAATGTAGTTAAAGAGGAATGTTTAATGATAACAATTGAAAACAAACTAAAAGCATTTTTCATTGTGTTTAAAAATAAGTCAAACTTACTTTACGATAGCACATTTTTTCAAATGATTTTAATAGTAACATATTTTTAATAAAAAATCGTTATTTTAAAAACAGTTTACTTTCTAGAAAAGAGACTTCTAAGAACGACACAACATGCCCCAGTTCTGTAAGTTGATTAGTACCACATGAGACATATCATCTACATAAAGCTCCATATCTTCATCCATGTCAGAATCTTCTTTCTCGTTATGATCTTCTTCAAGTGTCGAATTATCAACATTTACATTCACAACCTCTTCTCTGGCTTCTTCCTCCTAAAAATTTAATTTAGGGTTTCACAAATCCAAGAAAGCTAACATCATCATTGATATATCAGATTTGACAAAAACCAAACACCTCTGAAGTTGCTCCATCGCATCAAGATCCATATCTATATCTATATCATCATGGATATAATCCTCCTGAATCAATGAGCAATCATTTGTCATATATGAAAATAGAAAGGGGTATGTAACAGATATAATATTATGAGGACGTATACATGGAAAATGAAGACGATATGACTGATGTTTATATTTTGAAAGTCTTATTAATGATTTTTCATAAGATATGTATCTTGATCCCTTGTATTTTAAAGATATATGTAAGCATTATGCCATAAACCCAATCGAATTAGGTTGTAAACACTTTTAATATGTTTAATGCATTTGTTTCTGGCAAAATCTGTTACTTATTTAAATTCTTTTTCTATTGAAATCATATTAAATAATAGAGTCTGTAAATTTAAGTCTTTACAATTTGTTAGTCACAAGTAGTTGTGATTGTGAGATTCAAATTATAATATGACTGAATCTTAAATTATCCGTGGTTGAAGTAGTAACGAGATACATATATCGTTATTATAGATAGACCATCATGTGTGACATTTCTTACTTGCGAAATTAGTAGCTAATCTCACAATCTATAGTGTCGTGACACTTAAATGAACACGTGGATATTTTGTTATAGAACAAAATATTGAAGACCTACTGCTGGGGAGATTCCATATAGATAACTATCTGAGTATTAGTGGTTAATCTATAACGTTCGGTAGTGGAATTGATCATTTGACTTGAGGTCATCATAGTGCCTGATATGATGACAGTCATACTTTGGTGATGTTGGATATTGCTCTACAAAGGGTCGCTAATAAGGTATCGTTCGGGTATGTCAAGAATCATATGAAGGTTGTGAATGATCAATAGAGGATTCGTTGCTCTTATACAGTAAGAGATTATGATCTACATTTTATCCAGTTCAGTTAATAATGAAATTCTTGGCCAAGGTGAACTCATAAGTCGGAAAAGAGTTTTCAACTTACATTGTCTTAACACTGAATACAAGATATGATCGATAATTGAGATTGACACGTATCCATATCTCATTATTGGTTGGATCATATTGACGAAAGGATTATAATTTCACGTTAAACGAACAAGTTTGGTTGTCACATCACGTGACATTTCTCATCATATGTATTGCCCGACACATTGCTAGATGTCAATTTGGGACGACGAATGTGAGTTAGTGATAAATTAAAAGGGGTGTTTTAATTTATCGATTTTGATTAGATCAAAATAATATTTCACATCGTTAAGTATCGTGATCAGGAACCTAATGGATCACACACAAAAGAGAATCAGAAGAATGAAATTTACCAATTAATTAATTGACAAGTGTTGGACAATTAATTAATTGAGTTGCCTATTAATATACCCGAATTAATTAATTCATGGACCGAATTTAATTAATTTGATTAATTAAATATTTGACTGGGTAAAATTTAGAGATGGGCCAGCCCACTTGGGTTTATATTAATAGGCTGCTAGGGTTTGTAAACTGTATGGAATTTTCATTATTCTTGCTAGCACAAGAAAAGAAAACCCTAGCCGTCATTCTTGTTCTCTGTGTGGATCACCATTGGAGGCTGGACAATTGGACAGCTTGGATTGCAGATCGTGATCATTGGAGTTCAA